TCCCAAGCTCTGAGGTAGTTCTTAGAAATCATAATGGAGCGGAAATAGTGCATTGTTACACTGGAGACAAATTCAGCAAAAACATTTCTGCCAAAGGTTCAGAAATCAATGCACATTTTCCCTTCTCTCCAGGGAAAAAAGTTGGATAAATTAAAGTCTAAAAAAAATTAAATGTTTCATTTGTCATATAAACTTTGAACTGATAATATTCCTCAGAGAAAAACACTTGGTGAGTATCATGAAATATTAATCACTAGATAGCATTCTAGCAAAGAAACTTGGTCAGGTTGGAACGGCTTTTAAGGAATCACTAACAGTGTGGGCTATGAAAGACAAATGGAAGACGCCCAGGGAAAATATTAGAAAAGGCAAATTTATCCAATGCAATTTTTGCACAGAATTCTGCCTGACTTAACACTAAAACTTAGATTTTGTGCTAAAGAATAAAAAATTGGGAAAAGGGAAAAGCTGAGATTATTAAAATTGCAAAGAATTTTCCTGTTTAGTCAGTATTTTCTTTCTAATGCCTACACATTTGCATCACAGATACATAAGCATTAATTTTTTGATAAATTCCACAAATTAAATGTCAATTGAAGATGAAAGTCTTTTTATATTCTTGCACATTAACTGTTCAAAGAGATTGTTGAATATTTTAGCATTAATTTGGCTAGCTGTATTTCAAAGTAATATAAATGTTTTGGGTAGGTTTTTAAAGCCTTCTTAAATATTTATTTATTGGAAATGAGAGCAACAGAAACAGAGCATGAGAGAGAGAGAGAGAGAGAGAGAGAGAGAGAGAGAGAGAGAGAGAGAGATCTTCCATTTACTGTTTCATTCCTGCATGGCCCCAATGTGTTAGTTGGGATAGGTCAGAATGAAGCCTGGATCCAGAAACTCTTTCTGGGGTCCCAGGTCAGTGGCTGGCAGCAAGCCTGTGGGCCATCTCCCTCTGCCTTCTGAGGCACATTAAGCAGGTGTCTGGGACAGAAGTAGAGAAACCAGGATTGAACCCTCATTCTAAAATGGGACACCGCTGTCATAAGCAGCAGCTTAACCCACTGCACCAAAATGTTTGTCAAAAGTCTTCTTTGAAGGCTTTTATTTTAACTTTTAAAAGATTTATTGGTTTTTGTTGGAAAGGCAAATTTACAAAGAGGAGAGACCGAGAGAAAGATCTTGTACCTACTGGCTCATTCCTCATGTGGCCAAAATGGCTGCAGCTGAGTTGATCCAAAGCCAGGAGTCAAGAGTCTCTTGCGGATCTCCCACATAGGTGTGCAGGGTCCCAAGGCTTTGGGCTGTCCTCCACTGCCTCCCCAGGCCACAAGCAGAGAGCTGGATGGGAAGTGGAGCAGCTGGAACACAAACTGGTACCCATCCGGGATCCTAGTGCTTGAAGGGGTAGGACTAGTTAATCGGAACTGTCACCCCAACCTCCCTTTGAGGACTTATAAATGTTAGAATTTCAAGAGATGTTAGAATTAAGTCTCATTTTGCAAGTTAAAAATGAAATGTGTGTCATTGGTCATGAATAAATCAAAGTGTAAAGGGCAAGGGTATGAGTCCTACATGCATACTCACCTATTAATAGTATCAGCTTAAGTGAAGCAAAAGCTGATAGAACCCTTCAGATACGTGCAATCTGGGCTTGGATGCCAGTTGATCAAGCCTTAGTCGCTGACAAGCATCCCATTCAGAAAGAATGGATGGCGTTGTAGCATTCCTCTTGTGCAGGACTCCTTTAAGGCTAGTGTTCCACCATGTGTCCCTCCAGATGCCCAAACCTTCTCTTCCTTGTCCTCTGGCGGTTCTCCGTTCAGATGGTGGTGGTCAAAATGTGTGCTTGCTTTCCCTGATATTTTCCTTTCTCTTATTGCTTTGTACTTGGTGGTTTGTTTGTCCTGTGGGGCAGACACAGTGCTTCTGTGTCACTGAGAAATTACTTATTACACTTGTCTCTTTTTACATTGCATTGAAACCATGGTGCAGTGACGGTTTCCTAGCATTGGCGGAGAGCGTGGCCCTCCCGTCCAATATAACGTCTGACGTCTAACTCCATACAGGCCTCTAGTATGTCACATCTGGGTGACTCGCTTGCCCCTAGTTGCCCCACATGAGCTCAGGCTCAGTTGTGGTAGTGGTGCACAGGAAATGCAATGGACATGCTTTCCTGCCCAGAGATCCTGCAGTGAATGACTTCCAGTTGTTCATGAAATCTCCATAACTAATGAGACTTAAAAACTAATAAACGCTGTGGTTAGCACCCCAGAAACTGGAACATAACAAATAGACCTAAACTCCCTTTTTGTGCTTGAAGGGTAGAGTTCTTGGACCATTTGAGGAATATGTCTTGGGCTTTTGCTAGAATAATCAAACCTTTTGTGAATCTGTGTAAGATCTTTCTCTTTTTGGCATTTTAAATGTACTTACATGTAATACATGTGATAAAGAAATAAATATAGATTCATTACTTGGCATAGAGCACAACAACTATTTCATTCGATTGTCTGTTGCAGGAGCCCTCATTATACATGAGGACCATGTTTTACAGAATCTTTGTGGGTTACAGAACCCAGAACCCGTGACAGTATTCTTGGTCCCTCCATTTCCTTGAGTGCACAGTTAGCCTCAGGCACAGTCTCAACTGGCGCTCCCTTTTCATCATGTGTGCCCTCCTACCCCATTCTGCATAGAGGCATTGGCAGTCTTTGACAAAGCTTAAAACCCATGTTTTCTTCTGATTATGGAAAAGGGAAAAAAAGAATGTCATGGCCTCTAGTCACCTCTATACACTTTAACCACTGTCCCCTGGATCCGGAAGCCCAAGCAATGGGGCCTTATTACAGTTCTTCAAACACACCAGGCTCTCTTGTTTATCTCCGCACGTGTGTGAGTCTGGAACCTCCAGAACCTTGTCCCCTGACTTCCCATCCTCATACTCTCTGCTAACATTCCAAATCCTTCAGAATTTCACCTTGCTGGCTCATTGGTTCATACCCAGCCTTTAAATATTGCCCTAAATATCACAAACTAGGGCAGAATCTGTGGACACCAAAGCTAACTTTTTGTCTTCTCGTTACTTCTTGTTCTCACAGAAGATCATTATAGTAATGAAATCTTTTGTAGTCTTTCCTTTCTTACTATCTTTTTCTTCTGCAGATTTGAAGATTTCATGACTAAGTACTCCAATGCATTGTTTTGTTTTTTACCCAGTAAGTTATTGAATTAATAAGGTAAAGCAAGAAAAAAAAAATAGAAATGCAGGCTGAGTAACCCTCACCTGTGACGCTTGGGACCAGAAGTTCTTCAAATTTCTGAGTTTTTCAAATTTTAGAATATTTGTACAGATGTCTCCACTTGAGATTTCCTAGTGCTGCAGTTTGCCAGGTCACCCCCAAAGCAGTTTCACATTTTTAGATCATTCCAGATTTTTAAATTTGGGATGTTTGCTCCACCCATGTAGTGAAAACTCTCATGAGAAAAAGTACTATTTGTAGCCGAGGTAATAGGATTAATTTATGTTATTTTGCATTTTCTACCTATATTTGAAGAAAAAGATACATTCATGTAATGCCTGAGGAGACACACCTTTTCTGTGCTCATTTTTTTAATAACACATAAATATTTGTTGAATGAGTAATAGAACTAATCCTTATGGAAACAAGTCTAGTCACATGTATTTTAAAACATGAGATTGTTTGTATTGACTCAAGAATGTCCACCTAAAAATGTCATAAGGAATAGCCCTAAACATGGAAAAGGTGATGTATTTAAAGATATTTCTCACAGTGTTATTTATAGGAGTAACACACTGAAAATCACCTAAAGCCAAGAGAGTATAATGACTGAGTAAAGCATAGTGTATCCAGGAGGTGCTGTGTGAGAAGCTCTTTTTTTTTCAGGTTTTCCAAGATCATTTATTTGTGTGTATGTGTGTGTTTTACGACACCATTTAATAGGTACTGGGGTCTCCCATCTCCCTCTTCAATTTCCCTCCCCTTCCCAGTTTTCTCCCCTCCAGCTTTACAATGGGTATCTTTTGTGAATTTTCACAAGTCTGTCATGCTTCCACTGAGGTGTCTCCCAACAATGTAGCAGATTATTAGCCAAATCACTGTGACTCCATCCTTGTAGAGGGAGAAAAAAAAAAAAAGAAAAGAAAATGCAAACCTTCATCCACAGGAGGTTGATGAACATATAACAAAGGTATCAATGTGAAACCAACGAAGACCCAAACACAGCATACCAAAACTCGTGGGATACTGCCAAGGCCTTGCACTCAGTCCTTAGATTCTCTTGGTTTAGGTGATTTTCAGGGTTCATTTGGAAACACAAAAAGAAACACGAATAGCCAGAACCATCATAAGGAATAAGAACCTAGCAGGAGGGATCACAATCCCAGCTCTTCGGACACATTATAGGGTGGTAGTTATCAAAGCACAGAAACAGGAAGACCAATATAGTAGAATAAAAACACCAGAAGGGAAACTACACATGCACAGCCATCTAATCTTCGACAAGAAATCAGAAAACAATCCAGGAAAAAAGGAAGGTCTAGCATGGTACCCTTTCAAAGTAACAGAGAATAAAATGAAATACCTGGGAATAAACCTAACAAAAAGATGTGGAAGAGCTGTATAAGGAAAATTACAAAATATTAAGGAACTCTTAAGCTAAAGGATAGAACAGTGTAATGACTTCAAACTATTTATACTATAAATGAAAATAACTGGAAGACACCAAGTTTGGTAGCTGTGTTTATAAGTCCTGTTCATGAAAGGAAAAAGGACCAGAAAGAATGTGTATAATTTGCTTGTATTTTTTGAATTTATTTTTTAGCATGATATTTCCTTTTACAAGGACTATAAATTCTGTTAACTTGTATAGGTAAAACGTCATTTGCTTACGTCATTCAGTTTAAATGTCCTTGTAGTTGAATGGATCTTGGTCCGTCTTCTTTGTAATTATGCAACTGACATCTTGGTCTTGCTTCTTAGGGTGACAGAACCTTCTCTGAGGGTCCCCCTATTTATGGGTTGGATCTTTCATCCTCATGGCTAGATCACAGTTGCTTCCTGTCTAGTCCACGATTTTCACACTTGAACTGTAAGTAATAAGTTCTGTACCAGTTTTTAAATTGGCTGTAAGAAAATGCAACCCAGGAAAAATTAAAATTTAATGCCAGTACATGATAGTAAAAATCAAGTGAAAGGTTTGAGAAAATGTTTGTTATGGAGTATGTAAATAATGCTTCTAAATCTATGAAGTATTTCAAAAAGTTCATGGAAAATAAAACTGAAAGAGTTTAATTTGAGGCAAAAATTGTGAAAGTCATGCATATGATATCTTTGAAAAAGTTCATGAAAAATGCACATTGTGAAAAACCATATTTGGAACTCAAAATTGTACAACACAAAGTTTTTAAAATTCCATCTTTCTTTGAACTTTTTGAAGAATTTTGTATTTGTATTACCCTGTTTACTAAATACAAACTATGGAAACCCTTCTTTTTAGATATTATACTTTTTGTAATAACACAAAATAAGTCACCCCAATGTCAAAATCTTAAGAAAATACTTGTTTGGAGATTGCTAGTAACAATCAGTGAGTAGATAACAGAAGTTCCTTTATAGTGATAATCCAGTTAAGAGCTTTTGTACATTCTAGTTCAGAAATGTATAATACTGTGTAAAAAGTAAGAATTTTAATGCTGTCGCCTGCTCATTTTCGCTCAGAATACACCGTAAATGTTGATAGCATGTCATTGTCGACACCAGGGAGGCCAAGTCCATTGGCCCAGGATGTCTTCTCCCTCAACTTATCCCCTCTCCTTCCTGACTGTACTTGCTATTAAGTTTCAGCTTTGGTTTTTTTTTTTTTTTAAATCACGTCCTGAACAAAAGCTCCAGAACTTATACTTGTAAATGTGGCTTCTTTTATGCACAATCACAGTGTGCTACAATTGTTTTTTCAATCTTTCTCAAAATAATAATGATGTGATTCTTTGTTGGTTGAGTGACTCTTCATTTACTGATCCTTCTCTCTACTGTAGCATGACCTCCATGGGGAGTATGACGTATGATCTCCATGTTCACTTCTGTTTTCTAGTAAATTCTCAGTTAGTATTCTGTTAAAATCAATCGAATGAGTTGCTGAGTTGTTTTTTTTTCTTTCTTCAAAGTTTGCTTTTACCTAACCGATTGGAATTCAGATGTTATTAATACCCTCTTCTTTGCCTGATAATTTGGTTCTTCAGTTTACTGAGATGCTGAAGTTTTATGCATTAAATTTTATAACTGCATCATTTAAAATTGCTAGATTCCTGTAAAATGAAATGGCACAATAAGCTGCTGGAAAGTAGGTCAGATGCAAAGGTGACAGCTCTCATTTGTATTCATGGATTCATTGAATAAATATTTATCAGTTTCTGATAAATGATTTGGTTTTCATTATATCATGATTATTTTATTCTGAAAGCTAAGCATTTTCTCTTTCCTGCCCTGGTCATTTTGCCAACTGATTTTTTTTTTAATCTACATATACCCTCTGCTCTTATTAGTCAGCTACTTTTCAACATGGTTCATGGTACAGCAATCAGAGTCTGATACATAGGCCTAATTTGTTATCTTTCATATTAAGCAATGAGTCTAGTTATTGAAATTAAATATGGATGAAAATGTTAGGGACTAAGCACCCTGAAACATCAGAGAATATTGCTCACTACAATGGTCAAGGGGTTGGAGACAGCACTGAGATGTGATCATGAGTGTCATTGTTCTATCTCCATTTTGACTTGTTCACACATTCTCAGAATAAGTGGTTAGAAGTTCTGAAACAGAAAGCGTAAAGATCATTGGCATTTTATATAGTGTTATTATAGGTAGTGAAAAACACTGCATTTGGCTTTCCACTTTAATTATGACCAGAAATGGTCATTTGTCTAAGATACGTTCCCTTCAGGCAGTTGTGGGTTTCTTATTAACATATTAGTTCAAAAATTTAAATGATAATGTGGGAAATATCATTGAGAACATGATTAGAACATACTTATTGCAGTTTATGTTATTAAGTCTGAAATATTTGCCTTAAAGTAAAAGTTAATTTATCAGTAAATAACTTAATGGATTTTTTTAAATGCTTAGCCTTATTATTTCATTGCTATTGGCAAGTTTTCTGATTTTCCTCCCAGGTCTGCATGTCACAGGGCTGCTTTGCCATTGTTTCAGGTGATCACATCAAACGGTCTTCTAGAAATCACACATTTTGCTTCAGGTCCATTTTCCTGCTGAGACTGCAGGTGATAGGTCATGGTTGAGTCCCTGCCACTCACATGGAAGACCCAAAAGAAGTTTTAGACTACTGGCTCCAGCCTGTCCCTGTCCCAGCTGCTGGAGGCATCCAGGGAGTGAAACGACAGAAGACCCTTCTGTGTCTCTGTCTCATTTTCTCTGTCACTCCTCCTTTCAGATAAATAAAAACAAGTAGAACTTAAAGAGTAAAAAAGAAAAGTCCCAGCTTTTATATGTGATGAACAGATGTCCAACTTTCTTATTAACTTCTAGTTGATACGTGAAAGTTGCGATGGGATGTTTAGAGGAGTGTAGCCCTGGATAGGTATTTGGGGGAAAGGTAATTAAGAGTCTATGGCAGATGTGACTTTTGGGTTTCACACAAGGAACACCTTTTGACTGAGGCTGGAATTTGTTCTGGTTGAGGCATTTTGTCTGAATTCTAGACGCTAAGACATTCATACTGCTGACTTAGGTACCCTGTCAAACTGTGACCAAACTGAAGCACAGAATCACTGACCATGGAAAAAACAAAGGAAATGGGAAAATACTGCATAATTTGTGGTCTCTGAAATGATCCAGCATTAATGAAAGTTTGTTTTAAGAAGTAATTTATGTCAGCTTTGTGTAGTTCAGGTCAATTCAAGAAAAGGTAGATTCCTTCTGCCAGGAAGAAGGGAAGAAATGTATAAATTGTAAGTTTATATTACCATTGGAAATAGGAACACAGAAATCCATTATTTAAAGCCATGATCACTACCAAATTTATCCTGGCTGGCTGAAGTTATGGCCATGAGTCAGGACACTCTTTTAGAAGACTTGGATTCCATTACCTTCAGCTGGTAGACAGTGGGGCTTAGTAAGAGAGACTAATAATGTCAGCTTTTGAAACTCATTTCTACTTTTTATAAGTAAGTGACTGACCACTAGTCTCCATGTATAGCTCCTTTTAGACTAAAGGAACACAACTCTAGGACAGAACCTTCTCTCTGGGGCTGGGGCAGGACCTGACTTAGAGTCTGTATTAAACTGATGACTTCTAGCAATCCAGGCCCTTGAGACAGAAATGCTTCATTTTGGGGGAACCAGTGCTTCCAAGCCAAATTTGTAAAAGTAAATATGGATGGCAAGCTTTGTGTAAATCTATAGCTTATTGAAATAAATAAATAACTCCCTCTCCGCTAAACAACTAATTTGGGGGAAAGTTTCTGAGGATTATTATAGAAATTCAAAGTTCATTTTTATAAGGTTTGTTCTGTTTGTTTAAATAGAATGACAGAAACATAAGGAGAGACAGACACACACACACAAAGGAGAGAGAGAAAGAGAGATCTTCCATCCATCTGCTGATTCACTCTCCTGAAAGGCTGCAATGGCTGGGACTCACTCATGTTAAAACAGAAAGTAGCACCTCCGTCTGGATCTCCCCTCTGCTGGCGAGAGTGCAAGCACTTGAGCTGCCTTCTGCTACCTTCCTGGGTTGCAGGAAGCTAGGACTCAAAGCAGTACACCAATATGTGATGCCTGGGCCACAAGTAAAGACTTGAGCCCACTAGCCACAACACTGGCCCCACAAATTCGTCTTTAACATTTTTTTAGCTTGATAGTTTCAGAAAGGAGAACTCAATGAACGTTGCTTTTGAAAAATCCTTTCACTTCAGTATCTGTTGAGATTGCTATTGAAAGTGAAGTTTGTGTTCTTAATTTATGTTTTGAGGTGCCCTGGCAGGAACTTAGGATGCTTGGATGAAAAAAATAATTTATCCACATCAAGAAGAGCATGCCACGTTCACTTCTATATTATGTATGCCCCAAAGCCCATGTGGAAAACTTTGAATAGATATTTCCCATAGTTCATGCTAAAACTTATAAGGTAAAATATCAAAATGTATGCCATGAAATATATGAAAGTGTAAGAAATTGTTTCTTGCACATTAAAGGATTTGTTTATTCTAAGGAAGTGTAATCTTTCTGTCTCTCATTTGCAGGCCCATTTTCTGTAACTATGTTCTAGGTCATATTTAATGATCAATTGAATACTAGACATTTTAAAATAATTGAGTTTTTGTTATTGCTGTTTGACAAGGCACTCTAGCTGCTCTAGAGAAAATCATCTAGAAAATTCCCAGTTGCCTGTCTCTGAAAAAAAAAGAAAAAAAGAGAATCCCTCAAGTGTATTTGCTTGTCCAACCAATATGTGCTAAGAGGCTGTGCACAGAGCTCCGTGCTTGGTTCCCAAGGAGGCAATCATGGACGAGACAGGCGAGCTTACCTTGTCTCCTAGAGAAATAGGTAGTGTGCAAGTAAAGAGCTAATTTAAAATGAGTGCTGTAAAGTTGAAATGATGGCAGGTATTGGGAACTAGTCCAGTACTTCAGATCGATGATAAGGGGGTACCTCTGTGAGTAGGTTACAGTTAAGCTTTAATCTTCATGGCAAGAAGAACCCAATGAGAGGAAATGTAGTAGAAAGAGTCTGGTCAATAAAGTAGAAAGGACAAAGAACCCATAGAAGAGAGACATGCCCTTCCAGAAAGATGGAATCCTGACCAAGTAAAGGAGACAAAGGGGACAGCCAGCGCGGCATGCTTGGGTCTTACGCTAAGTTCACTGGGAATCCGCTAACGGAGTACAGGTGTAGGCTTATGCATGTCCTTTTAGGAAGATGCTTCTGGTTTGTGGTGTGCAGAAAGGAGAACAAGGGGTCAAGAGGAAGGCAAGAAGAGAACACAGTGGCCTCATCTGGGGTGATGGTAATGCACACAGGATGAGGCAGGCTCAGGTGGATTTAGGAAGAACAGTCATCAGGACTTGCTCTGAAATCGGATGGAGGAGTGAAACAGGACAAAGGAAGAGGAGGCGCAAGGCCTAAGAAACTGCACAGTTAGGTCTCCTGTTATCTAATGTGGAGAGGAGTTAGGGGTAAGCAGACACCCGAGAGTAAACAGCAGGATGGAAGCTGCCATGCAGACAGCTGGATAGAAGCTAGGGTTGGGGTTAGAGTTAGGATGTCTAGACCTTACAGAAGTGGTAGGAGGTAGCAGAGGAACAGTAGATTCAGATTCTAGCTCTGCTCAATAGAGGAAGACACGAACAAGAGGATGCAGTAAAAATGAGGCCCTTACGATTTTCCTTTCTGATTGTGTGTATGTTTTCTGATAAAGAAGATGTTTTAAACACAGATTTTTGAAAGTTTTTTTAAGTCATACGAATGTTTATTCTTATGTTAAATGCTTGTTAGTGCATGTGAAATCCTCGTAATTATTGTTTTAAGGAAAGCTAAGATTGTATGCTGTGGTAATTAGCTGGCTTCAGAGAGTCAGTCTTTTCAGCCTAGGTTTGTATTCATCTTTATTCCTTTTTTTGTCCATCTTGCCTCAACAGCATTCACTAAAAGAACTGTTGCTCCAGATGCGGGTTCTACCAAGGAGGATGCTACAAGTTTATCACTTAGTGGAACCGGTCCCCAGTCAAAGGAGGAGTATGAGAGCAGAAAAGGCAAAATGTAACCAGTGATTTCACATGAATGTCTCACCAGTGAAGGTCACTTACCTACGCTTGCTGCTGTTGTCCTAACTTGTCTTAGCAGAAGAACACCTGAGGCATTGGCTCTCTGCTATTGCCGACTGTTAACAACACCAAAATGATAATACGATAGGACCTTGTGAATGATAGAACTTAAACCAATGCAAATAATATCAAGTACTGAGTGGTGTGCAGGTATTTATTGGCACCCTGTGCCAACAGAGGAAGAGTAATACTTTTCATTTTGCATTTCCCCTTTTCAAGTGTGGTCAGTCACATTTTCCTGATCACAATTTGGGTTTGTAATTGAGGCCTTTCAGAAATTACTGGCTAAAAAGGAGGAAAATCAGTTTCCCTTAAGGTGAAAGTGCTAGCACTTTAGATTCACGGAGCATTTATATACGGTTGATTTTTTTTAATGCTTTCTCCCTAATAAATTATCATGTGTTATAACATGTCATGGAGATATGCGAATGCAATATTAGGTGGTCTGCTTTGTAAATGTTCAAAATGTTTGTATTCATCATCTCTACAGTTTATTACTACCATAGTTTCTTAATATTATTTCCAATCATCCATTTTTTTGTTAGCAATAAAGAAGTTTTAAATGATACCTGAATTGCAGAGCAAGAAAAGCACTTACATCACAATTTATTTGTCCTTCTGCAGCTGAATGTCCCACTGTGATCACTTCATTCATGCCCTGGTTGATCTTGGGGTTGCTGTGACCGAAATCACAGCACCAAATTCTTGTGCCCATGAAATTTAATCTGCAGAGGTTCTCATACCATTTGTACTGTATGTCTGCTTTTAGCCTTGTGTTTTTCTAATATCAGAGTGTTTTCAAGAACTTGTTCCTTTTACATGGTGAGTTACCAATGGAAAGAGATTTATATTAAAATACTAAAAAAAAAAAAGAGGGTGAGCAATCAAGAGCTTTGTATTGTCTGTCACATTTTATGTTTGTTAAACATCTTGTTACACTTACATTCTTTAGTTTCTACCAAAGATATATGTTTGCAGATTACCACTGCCTTTAGGATGTAGCCATGCATTTTATCATTTATTCATTGTAAAATCCTACCACATGCCAATCTTTTGTGCTGAGAAGAAAAGTAGATGTACTTTTGGTACATCTACTTACAAGTACTTTTGGTACTTAGTTTGGTACTAAGAAGAACTGCATGGGGAGAAAAGGAAGGTATGTGTTTGGGGCTAACTGAAGAAATTGTTGATTAGAACATTAGACAGGTTTGGTTTGGTTTTGTCTAACCCCAAGTGTCTCAGAGCTGTTAGTAACTTAATGATCACAGGGAGGTTTCAGTGAGAGCAAGCCTTTCAAAGGAACAGCTTTGGGATGCCAGGAGCCCATCTGACTCTATAGTGCTGTTCACGATATTGAGAAATTATTTTACTATTTCCACTGATGCTTTGACTAACACAATATGTTTATTTTCTTGGACCTAAATAATTAACAAAAGAAAACAAGGGAGAAAATTAAATCCCAAGCATAAAAGCTAAGTAGCTTTTCCTTTTTTATAGTAGTAGGGACTTAATTTGATCTACTGTGGTCATTTCAAAAGAACTACATCGTGTCCATTAGAACTGGAAGTTAATGGTAGCTCAGATTACTTGAAATAAAATCTTGAAAACACTTCATTTTATAACAGAATGGAGAGGACTCACTCTTATGAAAGATATTTGTATGTTTGACAAAATATATAAAGCCGTTATGTTATTGTCTGCTCTATGCTACTGTTGGATGAATGAAGGTGTCTAACTTTAAATATGGAACAAACAACACTTCAAAGGCAAAGTGAACGCTTTGTGAGCAAGTTCTTTTCAGAATTCCTTCGCCCTCTGTTTATTTGGAATTAAATCCAAGGGCCTGTCTCCTCTGAGGATTTTTCCTATCTCTTGCATTACCATTAGCTTGAGTTGGAAATCAAAAGGAATGCTAAGGAAACAGTAATAGCTTGATTTGCACATTTCAAAGGCAGCAGCTTTTTCCTTTACTCACCCCTTTGGCAGAATAGCCTCCATGACGTGTGATACCGACCTGGTTTGAGTTGTAACTAGTCAGCCATACTCCTTGTAACACTGTGACATTGGAAGGGATCAATCTTATTTTGGGCTGAAGTGTATTTGAAAAGTGACCTTTTTGGTTTAGTAATTTTGATTCTTCTGGCCATCTTTCTCCCTAAACATACTGAACTTCCATTGAAGTTGCTGAAGGCCACAGAGGGAAGAAACACAGCTGGGAGAAATCTGGCTTGATGTTTTTCCCATTGGCTAAGGTCTTGTTATTTCCTTGACTAGCGTCTGAGTTGAAGGTTGACACCAGTTGGTTATATAACATTTTAATGCACCCAGTTCCCCAGAGCTACTAACTTTCCTTCTTACCATTACAATTTTACTGCCTGTTTTCATTAATAAAGAAATCAAGACTACAGATTAAGAATATAGTTACATGTAGCATTTAGATACATGTATAAAAAGTGACTACCTACCTACTTAACTAAGAAAACTTTTTCATTTTTCTCCTTCCAACTGTATTTTTCCATTTTTTAATCTCAATTCAGTGGTATATAGATCATATTTTTTTAGAGTTAGACTGATTGTTACTTGTCTGCTTCTAATTTATGTTGGATTTTAGAATTAAATAACAACTTTTACGTGGGACCAAGTGTCTGTGTGCAAGAGATGATATATTTACCTAGCAAGACCTTTTTTTAGAGAAGGATAAATATTTCAGATTCTTCTACTGAGGATTTGAGCTTATTATAAGCACAAGTACACATCATGTGATAGCCAAGAATGTGAATGATCATTGAATAAATTATTCAAGTTCAAAAATTGTACAGAGCACCTCCTCAACATTTTTTTCCTAACTTAAAACTAAACAGAAAATTTGTGATTTCCATGGCTTTCATGTGAGAAAGCTGTTCTTATGAAAGCATCTGACTTTCTTGGATTAAAACTAAACCATGAGCCTTCCATAAGCAGGCAAGTGAAATGGCGCAAGTTTGTAGATACATGCATTTCACATACCAAAAGTTAGGTATAAAAATGTGTCCATCTTTTCAAGTTCTCAGTTGTGTAGCTATAGAAGCCTATCTCCTTAACCCTGTTTAGAACAAGAAATCGAAGGCATGAAAAGGTGCATTTAGTTTACCTTCCATACAGAATGCACACATGCCGTGAAAGCCTAAGAGAAATGATCGTACTGAGAAGCAAAGCTTTAGGTTCCATTTATCTGAATTTCAGAGAAGTGACGCTTTGGATCAGCAACGCAGTAAAGCGGGTCGCTCGGGTGTGGTGGAGCTGTCGGACTTTCAGTGTCTAACCCCATCTTTCCTCTTCTCAGCTTTCCATGTGTACCTTTCTGCTCTGTACTTGTGTCCACAGGCTAACGAAATTCAGGCTAGCACGATGCCCTTGATATTCTTTCTACCAAGCGAAGCCCCTGTTGGTGACCTGGGAATTCTAATGACTACACAGCCTACCCTGGCTTGTAGCACTAGCATGTCTTCAGGACCAGCGGAATAGAAAAGGATGGTTATGTCTCAAGTCCCTGACTACTCTTACTGTGGAAAGTGAGGAGTCATCTGAAAGTTCATGGAAAATGAATATTTGAAGGAAACCCTTGTAATTCCATTTTCCCACAAGCCTTTTGAAGCCGCATTTACAAGTGTGGCTGGAAACCACTCCTTCCCCAGCACGGCTTAACCGGCGTAGGTGTGGAGCCCTGTGACATTTGCAGGTATGACTGTACCTACCCACCATCCCCTCTTCAGAAATGGACCACGTTTCTTAAGTTAGCACCATATGGGTTCCTCTTCAGGAGGATAGTCAAAGCAGTTTTTGATTTGAAGATCTCTACCTTTCACCATGTAGAACCTTATGCCTTTGCAGTGGGAACATGAAAACAAATGCTGCTATGGTGAAAACAGAGTCAGACAGCATCTCACGTATCGCCTATACTTCCAACAACTTGCTGTGATTTCAGAAGTTGAAATTACACCATTGCCATTTGTTAGAATGAATGAGCTATTTTTCCCAAAGTGGCAGATGTGAGACCGTCATGCCAGTCTGTCTTCTGTCATCTCTCCTTGGATTCCCACAATTTGACACTCTCATTTTTTATTCTTTCAGTAAAGCATTTTTATGGGTTTTATTTAAATAAAAACAAAGGTTACATTTTATCCTTAGATGGTAGAGTTCTTTGTCATCTTAGCTGCATTTTTCACTGGAAATAAAATATCAGACTACTAGTTTGAAGCATATTTTTAAAACAAAATAGCGGATATGAAGCTATGAGCAATTCAGATTTTACAACTTAAAAGTAAGAAAATACGCTGAAGGAAAGCAGGATAATATTATATGTTCCTTAGTCACTAATTGACAGTCTCCTTTAAATTCTGATTTAATATTATTTTAAAATCATACTTGCTAAAAAAAGGCTAAGTATAATTTTTATAGTATCAGGTTTTCCGTGAAATTACAGTTTCTTTTTTGTTTTTACTTGCACAATTTTCATTTAAGAGTCAGGTGTCCTTGTGAGTCATTGGATGCTGCCAAATGTTTAAATGGCTTTTTGAAAGTCCAAGATGATGGGCCAACAGTGTTAAAAAAAAAAGAAAAAAGACTTGTACTTTGAGATGGTGCATCTTTCTTCGTTCCTGAAATACTGTATTTCTGTTGGAAACACTTCCTTCTTCCCCGTCTCTCTTTAGTTTCCTTCTCTGGCATCCATTCATTTCAGGGATTTGGGGAAGCAGCTTTAAATCTATGTTTTGGTCCAGTATTTAAAGTAGAGTCAGGCTTACCTGACTGTGCACATATTTTAAGACACTATAGCAAAGGGCAACCCTGAAGAGTGAGATTAATATGCAGAGTGCCTGGGGTATTTTTTTTTTTCTGAGGTGTGGACTGTGCCATGAGAGACTTCTTGGTAAAGCACAGCTCTTTTTTGTGTGTGTGTATTTGTATGTATTGGAGTACCTATTTATCACTGTCTTTGTAGTCCAAAGAGCAATCGCAAACATGTAGACCCAGTTGCACATAGCAATGATAACCTGATTTTTGAAAATATCCTCTTGACAGTGTTCTTTTCCACCCCATACACACACCTCTTTTTGTTGTTAAAGCAACTATTAATCTGATCTTTTGGTCTGAGTCTTATGTTATCCCTAGGGTAGTGGTCATGTCATTGGGATTCTGTATATCCATCGTTGCTGAGCACTTAGCTGGATAAGGCAAGGATGGCAAGAGTTGTGTAAAACGATGCGAACAGAGAGGAAGCTGGGTTACCTACAGCAACACACAATTCAAACCGTTGCCTTGAAAGAGAGGTCTGTGGTAACACTTCATCCTTTCTCTGGTGTTGAGCCCAGGAAAGCAGCGTGTTGGGAGATCCTGGTGAACTTGATGTGCACTATGCAGTCATGTTTCTGATGAAAACAGCAATCTTTAGCATTCCTTCTGGATTGCTCACTGGCGGTTGAGTCACAGTACAAAGTGGCCTTCTTTCAGTCTGGGTGTCCTAGGCTTCGTTTTCCATTTTAGATTTTCATTTTATTTATGCTGTCTTTATTCCCACCCTGATAATAGATATAGGCTTGATTTGTGACTTTTTTTTTTTTAATTCCCATTATAAGGAACCTCAAGCTGTCAGTAATCAGAAGTAAAGCAACCGTGGTAGCAAGGACATCTAACACCATGGCTTAAGTGGATGGCTATTAAAAGAGGTTTGGAAACTTAAGAGATTTTTGCCTTTTTTTTTTTCTGGACCAAGTGAAATAGATACATCAGTTCTAACAAGGCACTTCCTGCCCTGAGCCACTGGCAGAGCAGTCTCCTCCCAACAGCTGCAGGCTTGAGACGCCCCGTGCTGCTGGCCGGGGTTCATTCTGTGCTTTGACCAAGACCACAGCCAATAAAGCCAGTGTGTACCGTGGAAAGAGTTTCCCATTTTTTTCCATTGGACAAGTCTTTTGTGAGGTTAGTTTGGCTGTTCCAAATTAACCATGGT